AATCTGGGGGCTGGGAGAAGAGGAGGTTGGTCCTGAAAATAAAGAAGAAATAGGGTGTTCAGAGAGGATTACAGTAAATCAGTATGAGCACTGATGCCCTTCACCATAGCCCTGAACCAGGGGGGTTGCTGGAAGGTCAGTGTGACACTACTCAAAAGAGTCCCAGTGCTTCAGTGTGCCAGCTGGATGGCACTGACTATTCCCAGGTGCAGGACTGCTGGGATTAGTATAATTGCCTCAGCTCTGTCTGAAAGTGCTGGGAGAGAGCTGGCACCAACATGTTCCTCCAATTTCACCCTTTCCAGCAGAGGACACTTGGCAAAGTGTGATCAGGGAGGACCCACCCTACTACTGTTGGCACTGCCGTTGCCCTGGCCCAGTGCCCACCTTCAGTTCTCACTCTCCAAACAGCACAGGAAGGAAGAACTCACCTAGAACTTGCTAACGGTGGTGCTAGTGTTTGGTTAAAAGCTCTTGTGCTTCCCAAACCCCACTGCTCTGTCCCTACACACTCAACCCTAACAGCGATCCTCCCCGATTGTCTGTCCCAAGACGTCGTCCAGTTCAAGCTCTGGTTCCCTCTTCAGCACTTTCTGCTGCAGCTCAGAGTAGAAGTCGACACCTTCAGAAACTGAACGGAGGGGCCTGGTTTGGGGCTCGTAATAGCTGCTTATTTGCTTCTGTATGAAGCACTGGTGATGCTGAGGTGGATTCTTCAAGCTCCCATCATAGCCCTTCATGTGGTTTCTTTTGAACTCCAGCACTGTCTTAGTGTAGGTGTTGAGAGTGGTAACAGCAGAAGCCATGCAGCAGGTGAAGGAGACCCAGGCCATGCTACAAGAGACAGAAGAAAGCACATGCTGTGAGAAGCCAAGTGGGGAAAGGATTTTAACTGTGCACTGTGATGCACCCTGATTTGCCAGGCAAAAGCTGCTGAGCATGGACATGAACTAGAAAGATTAAGGCTCATAACTGCATGGTTCTTAGGGGTTGTCCCACCACAAGACCCTTCTTAGATTGGTGGGGTAAACAGTGATCATCCCTGTCACAGGGAAGGGAGGGATACTGGGAAGATAAAGGCCACAGGGAAGTCTGTAACTGGTCAGAGCAGGACAGGACAGCTTGGAAGTAAGTCCTACATGGCAGGGCTGTTCAGTGTCTTCTTGGACATGAGGCATGTCCATGAGCATAACCAGATGGCTGTGCTGACATTTAACATCCACAGCTGGCTCATGGCACTGGAGTGTTGAAGCCATAAGAATCGATGTGGTCAGTGTCAGTTCAGCGCAAATTAGCCCCATCCTTTCTATGGGCACTTGCAAGGTTCATCCAACTGTTTTTCAATCAGTAAGGGGCTATCAGCTGTGTGTGGCTTCTTCAGCCCTTAGAGAAATGAACCCTGAGTCACTTGCTTTTTGCAGCTGCTTTTCCTGGCTACGATGTCCACATCTTTAAACATGTGTCTAGACTTGATGCTGCAAGAGTAGGCCCTTTGGACATCAGTTAGTGAAGATGCCAAACCAGGATGTAACTTACTTAAACTGCAGAAAAACAAGGCATGTTTGAAAGCATCATCACAGGTGTGACACTGGCCTCTGCACACAGGGCAGACCAAACAGGGCAAACCAGCCAAGGGGCAAACCTGATTAGTCAATTTTAGTTGTGACCTCATTGTTTTGCCAGTTCTTGGTAGCTACTCATTTAAATAACTCAACAATTATTTGTTAAGGCGGGGGATGAGGCAAAGACGGGTGATTAGCAGTAGGAGGACCATGGTACACTTGTCTTTGGAAGCACAGAAGGTCATGAAGGAAGTATGTTTTTACAGGGTGTAGCATGTCTGAAGCCCAAAAGGCTGGGGAGGTGAAGATGCTTCAGAGGTCACGTACTAGAAAGCCCAGCCATAGTCCCATGAGTGTGGTCTCCAGTCCTCTGGTCCCAGATTAACTGTTGCCTGGAAGACTTGGCTGTACATCATGTGTGCCACCATCCCAAGGAGACCTGGACACAAAAAACAAAGCAAAGAAGTTACAGCAGGAGCCAGAGCTGCATACTTCAGCTTTGTGTGGGAGAGGACACTCTCCTGCTGCTTTGATTCCAAGCCTGCAGTAACACACTTACCTGACAGCACCGAGGAGACAGCAGCAAAGGCATTGAGCTTCAACCCACAGACAGGATTGCTAGTATGCAGCATTTCCACCATCAGGAGGATGAAGCTGATGAGCAACAAGCTGATGTACAACATCTCTGATCCCAGCGATAGCCACAGGATTCCTGCCAGGAATGAGAGACTCCTCATATCAATACAGGATGGCTTGTTCAAGAAAGAGTACTCCCTCTTCCCAACCCACGCCTGAAAGAATGTCCTTTGCAAAGAAGAGAAAGAAGGAATATGACAAGCACCCAAAAGCAATCTCCTTAGCCTGTGAGCAAGGGCTAAAAGGATGCTGAAGGGGACAGACAGTCTGTCTCTGAAGATGGCTTGGCTGGTCTGGCACTGCAGAAGCTGAGGGGAACTAGAACAGCTGTCTGTAAACAAGCCAGCATTGTTCATAAGCAGCAAGGAAGAAGCCATGGGGAGACAGGCAAGGGGAAAGTATTAGTACAAGAGTATTAGCACAAGACCTAGAGGTCATAGTTTGGCCACAAACACATCTGAGCTGGACATTAGAAGGTTCTTACTCGTTAGTGTAGTGATGTCCAGAGTAGGTATCTAATCACAGCAATGGAAACTATTTTCAACCTGAGACTCAACTGGTTAGGAAAATAAATATATGGTTCATCTGTGGTGATGACTGGGATCTGGCCTCTGCAATTCAGGAGGTCCCTTGCAGGTCTTCATTCCTTGGGGTGGATATCCATCTAGAGCAGTAACATTGACCACTCACCCTGCTGCTTGAACAGTGTACAGGTACTTTCATGCTGGTATTATCAGTGGGACTTAAGTGATACCACAGGCCTCAGCTGAGCTCACTGTGCAGTAGGGCTTGAAGGAGCATGAGAAAAGGCACTCTAATGCTGAGCTGTGGAAGAGCAGAGGATTCACTGAGGAAGAAATATTAATCTGACAATTGAAGCAGCACTGTGAACACTACTGTTAG